TCAGGACATCCCTCTGAGATAATCAGGTTATTTTCCCTCCTGTGGAAAGACATGAGGGTTGGGAATAAAAGGACATTTGGGACAAGGACATCCTGCATGGGATGCACCCACATTGTGGCACAGGGAGGCAGCCAGGACATGGACCAAGGACCTCCCCGCAGTCCCCAACCCATCCTTGGCAAAAGCAGGGAAAGGGGCTCCGGTTCCTGCACGAGAGCAGTCAGCAAAGCAGCTTGCAGCTAAAGCACAAGTTCTGGCCAGAGGGATTTAACGAAGCAACGTGCTTGACCCTGGCGGAGAGCTCTCCGCTCCCTATCAACCTCCTGCCCGCCAGAAACCGACTTGAAAATGTCTTCCTGGCGCTGGATTTGGTTTTAAATTTAACTTGATTTATTTAACTTCATCAGGGTAAAACGTTCAAGTCTGCCTCGCTGGAACAAGGAGGAAGGGAGCTGCAGAAGGACGAGTGTGGCTGCACAGGGCATCCTGCCCAACACGTGGAGTTCCCCCTTTCCCACTGGAACGAGGAACCCGTGCGAGAGGCACATGGAAAGACCAGCTCCTGCCCTTGTTATCAGTCTTAGCTACTAACCCCCCAGGAGCGAGCGATGCTGGGGAATAAAATATCCATCCGACAGCCTTCCCCGGCTTCCTTATCTGAACCAAGAGCCTCGGGCGCCAGTAATTTCTCTCCTCCTCAAGCTGTGGTCCAGATCCTGCTCCCAGTCCGATGTTTCTCCAGAAAAACACGAGCGACAGGATGCCTTTGTGTAAGCCTGTCATCTTATAGGCATAAAGCAAAGTGACTGTGAGAAAGGCAACACCACCATCATTAGCAGGCACGGTGTGATGGGTTTCCTTGCTCATCCTGAAGGTCTTTTCCAACCCTAATGACTCTATGGTCATCCCCAGGCAGAAAACTGGGGGCCAGGTGGAGTAAGTTGTTTTATGGCTTGGTGGTTATTTAAGCCTTAACTAGACAGACAAGGGAACAGTAAATAGCACCTTAAGTCTTTCTTAGATGTTGTCTCCATATTAAATATTAACATTTAGGGTAGCAAAGCAGTGCAGAAATGTGCTAGATAGGATTTTGAGAATGTCAGAGCCTTAACTCCTGCAGAATTCATAAAAGAAGCAAAAATTTTTTAAAAACTACCCTCTAAGCAGCTTTTAGCATAAGTCACTTTGCTCCATCAAATAAGATCTGATTAATCTAAAATAGATCAGAGAAGCAAAACTCTGCCTTTAAGCACCCCCACTCATTTTGACTGTCACTTCAAATGTCTTTCAAATAGCAAGGGAAAGAAAATCTGGTAATTCATTTACGTTTTATTTAAAGTTTCAGTTTGGCTTTTGAAATTGCTGAGCTGGCCTCATACAGGAAACAAACGGGGCGATGAAAGAGAGTTAAGCCAAGGCAGTAGGAAGAAAGAGAAATTATCTAGGCTAGAAATTAACTCTGCCACCCCCAGAATCTCATGTCCCCATGCGATTTCCTCGCGCAGCCGGTGTTTCTCCCCATTTCCCCCTCACAACAAGGCTTCTTCGTTCTGCTTCCCAGGTTGCAGCAGAACGATGTCATTTCTGCAAACCCTTTGGGGTTGCTGTTTTGGCCTGTTTCTGTTCAGTTCTTGGGTGTATTTGCTCTCTTTTGTCATTACTTTATGCTGCAAAGACGATTTGAGTCAGACTTTACCTTTGACAATTCTAATGTTGGCGATGTTGGTATCTGCTGTGGAAATGGATTGCACAAAACTCTTAATCAGGAGTGACGTCTAAGTACATATTTTTTATATATTCTGGCCAAATTTTAATGTCAAGTAATGCTGTCAAACTTTTAAGAAACCAAGTACTTATCTACAGACACTTCAGTCTGTTCTTGCATGTCACCTTTCTGTAAATACAGCCCATCTGTACCAAAAAGCAGTATCTTGAGATGGATATATTGGAGCATTTACTGAAATACTGGCTGAGAAGGGACTCTCTTTTTTGTGCCTTTGACCAGGCAAATTTTTTGGCACTTTCTGAAAAGCTGGGAACAAACCTCAAGGCAGCCCCGTTGCTTTGCAAAATCCTGGCTTTTGTCTCCATGTGGTTTTTGCTCCCAAGTCTCTTCTCAAGCTCCACACAGATCCCTTAAGTCAAGTGCAAGTGTCTCCATGGAAACTTCCTTCCTCAAAGAGCCTCTTTTCCACAGAAAACAATGTGCCCGTGTTGTTTAAGAGGAAAATGCAGCTTGGTAGGGGCATAACGTCTGCTTAGAGAAGAGCCTGTAACAATTAATCGGTCAGATTTACGTCCTTTGAAAACATATTTCATTAAGACATTCGAGGGATGGCTGAATATAGAGGTGCAGTTGCAGCAGCAATAGCCCAAGTGCTTCAGTCCCCCTCCGTCTCTGCCCTGGATCTTCCCTCTCAGCACTGCAACCCTTTTTCTAAAGGCACACAGGGATCTTTACATACAGGAAGTATCATGTAGAAGCCACAATTTGCTCCCTAAATAAGATCCTCAGGGCTTTGGAAGCTGAGTTTAGCACCTCTCTTCACCAGGCCCTGGATGCTATCAGATGTTCCTACGTTATGACGTAGCAGAATTGCTTGGGATGCCTCCAAAAGGAAGGAAAAGAGAAAGGAAAAAAAAAGGAAACAGATTTTCAGACTGGCTAGTCAAAAAATTAAATATTTCATGTTCTAATAAAGAAGAGACACTTGAATATTAATAGGCAAATAAATAATTTAAGGCTGTGATTAAAAATGGTTTCAGTTCAGTAGAATCAGATTAATTCATACAGTATGGAAAACACAAAAAATCTGCCAAAAAGTTATCTAGATGGAGGAGGGTTTTCTAAGTTGCTTTTAAATCACAATAAAGTCAAGACGTAACTGGAAAAATAAGCCACATAGATTAATTTTTACATGAGACAGTCACTATGTGAGAGGCAAACTGCTGTAAAAGGATATGCAAAGGCTCACACAGGTACTGGAACTGATGAACAGATAGAAAGGAGAACAAAAATTTCTCAGAAAAAAAAAATCCTAGTCTCTTAAGTGTAACGTAGCTACAAACCTTTCAGGATTTCCTGACAGCATAAAAACACAACATGCCTGTTGAGGAGAAACCCAGAGGAGCAATTTAAAGGCGTGCAAACAATCCTCGTTACAGTCCTAATGTAAACTGAGCAGTTCTGCTGCAGAAAACAAGCTCAAACCCGTGCTCAGAGCTAAGGTGTATGTGCGTCCAGGCTCCCACCTTGGATGGGGGAAGGCCAAGAGTCACATCAGAACCTCAGGTTTCCATCCAGCTGCAGGTTAGTCCAGTTTTCCAGTGGGGAAAATATAATTGAAGCAACGCCTAGAGGCAG